GGGGGGGGGGGGGGGGGGGGGGGTTCACTGTGCAGTTCTGCCCCAAATTGGTTACCTTTAATCATTTCAGGAAGCAGTGATTTCGTTTCCTTCTGATTGACATTTTTTCTTTAACTTTAAATTAATGGCAAGTTGCTTGGTTGCCCCCATTCCTTGGTGGGAAGCCGATCTGACTGAGTGAGGTGGTCCTGGTTTGGTGAGACACATCCCCGTGGATGTCTGCTTCCTCATTGGGCTACATGGAGAGACAGGACCGTCGCCCCCTGTTGAAGCGCTGTGCCAGCCTGAAGCTGATATCTGTAACGCAGAACACTGGAATGCTGGGAAATTCCTCCATCTATTTTGGTCTCACGAGCGGGATGATCTTTGCTCAGCTGATGACGTTATAATTAAGTGTCGTACTTTTGTTAGATGCCAAGGAAATTCCTCCTTCTGACCCAAACTGATGACGCATCAAAAGATGTGGGTTCTGTACACTCACTATGTGACCTCATACGGCATCAGTGATTGGCTCCTGGAAGTTTATCGCTGCCTCTCCATTGGTTGTCATTCGCAGAATGGGCCCGCCCAGTTGGTTCTGGTCATGGCGCATGCTCTGCCATCGCCCCCCTCCTCCCACTTTCCTCATCCCGTGTTGTGGGCGTCGATGTTTATCTGCGTGTATGAGTCACTGCGTGTTTTCCGATAAGGTAACAATGGTGTCCCTTCAGTGCCTTTGTTGGGTCCGGGAATGGCGTAGAAGGGCGGGTGGTTTCAGAGGAGGCCTTGCAGATGTCCCTGCATGCGGGTTCTGGCTGGTACCAGTCTAATTCGGTTTCAGTTTGTGTTTTCAGCGTAAAATAGGCTTTAATGCAGCCTGCAGCTTCACCGATGTCCCACGATGCACTGCTTCACTGCTTGTCTGTACCAGGTGGTGCTTCTGCATTTCCTCACCACACCCCGCTCCCCCCCCCCCTCGGGCAGCGCAAGGCCGGCTGACCCAGAGAGGCCCGTGAAGGAAGCACATGCTCTGCCGCCTATAAACTCCGGCCTCCATGGCAGCCAAGCTGGAAAATGTGGGTGGGATCCCCACAAACTCCGCCCCCTTTTGCTGGCCTATGCCAGCGGAACCTTTGAAGTGCGACCACAGTGGAGGGACCGGCAACGGGGCTCCCTGTGCCGGCCTGTGGCCCCCAGCTAGGACTGCCTGCCCGGGGAGCCTTCAGATGTGGCCGACCCCCCCCCCCTCCCAACCCCCACCAGCAAACGCTTGCGGTTCTCTGAAGGGATCCTGATGTGACTCTTGCATGCTGCTTTTCTTATGGGGCCCACACTCCGCGGTGCCCCCTGACTCCCCAGAAAGCGCCGGAATCATCTGCCACTCGTTACCGGAGGCTGAAAACCCCGAAAAGCCAAGCTTGTGGGTGCCGTTTCCTCCCCGGAGCCGGTGCCTGGGCCCAGCTGACAGAGCGAATTAGGCAAGGTTTAAAAATACCGGCAGGTAGCGGCCGCACGGGCCGTCTCCGTCACTCTGCCGTCTCCGTCACTCTGCCGTTCCGGGCTGGCTGGAATCCGGTTAGCGCCGCAGCGGTGGCTGTGGGAATGGTGAGACAGACGGGAAGGACGTGTTTCCATAAATCCTGACCGATCTCCCCCGCAGCAATCAGGCCACGGCAAAAAAAAATGCCCCTCTGTCTATCTGCCACCCCAGCATGAACAACCTGTGGTAGTTAGGTTTGTTTGGGGGGGGGGGGGAGCGCCCATCCTCCTGCCTGTCAGAACAGAGTTCCACTGGCCTAGCCCTACCCGGGGGGGGCGGTGTAAGCGTGGCATGGGGGCCCGGCTCCGCTGGCATTTCCGGAACATTCCTTTTCTGTTTGCCGTGCTTTCCGATTCGGCCGACTGGCGAAGTCGGCGTGTCCTTCTCCGCTCACTTCCCCCTTTTGCTTATTTATAAGGTCGATATTTTTTTGGCCAGATTTTTTTTTCTTTTTCGCTCCCCCCTCCCTCTCGGGGCTCGGAGGAGCAGCCCGGAGCTGCCGGAGGCCGGCGGCGCTTTGATTTGTGCCGGGAGGTGAGGGCCGCGATCGGGGGCCGCAGGGCCGCGCCAGTTATCTTAACCTCCCACACTTCAAAGGGGACCCGGCTGGCTGGGGAGGCGGGGGCCATGGAGGCCGAGGCCGGGGGAGGGGTGGCTGGGGGGGGGGGGGGG